GGGTGGGAAGACAGCTGGTCATTTAGTGGCTCACGCCGGTCTGAAGTGTGTCTGAGTCTGAGGATCATGGTTCAAAGCCAGCCCGGGCAGGAAAGTCTCTGAGGCTCTGATCTCCAATTCACCAGCAAAAAAAGCAGGAAATGGAGGTGGGACTTGAGCGGTAGAGTGCCAGCTCGGAGTGAGAAAGCTAAGAACAGTTTGCTGGGCCACACCTCCAAATAAGCTCCAACTAGCAACAGGCTGACACAGGTTATATGAATCTCTCGATCTCTCTGTGGTTAAAATATTTAACTATTTTGCTTAAGGTGAGCACTCTACTATGGAGCTACAGCTCTGTTTCTGACTTTTTTTGTGTGTGTGTGGGTCACTGGAGATAAAGAGACTCAGAGATTTTCCCTGTCTCAGCTGGCCTCAAACCATGATCCTCAAATCTCAGCCTCCTGAGCAGCTAGGCTGACAGGTGTGAGCCATAGATACCTGAGTTTGGTTAAAATTTGAAAGAAATTAAAAGTGGAGAGTACTATTCTGATTATGTATTCATAAAAGAACTTCTCTCTGTCTCTGTCTCTCTCAACACACACACACATTTCTACATACATTAATTTCCCATTCCCGTCTCCTTCCATTAGGCAGATAATTTTCTCCGTACACAGAATTTATATACCCACAGTAGTCCTGGTGCTTTATAAAACTTCAATGAGTTTTCTTATCAATTTAATTATTTCAACACCTTCAAGTTAATTAACTTTCTGAGTTGATTTAATTTACAATTAAAAAAAATGGGCTCTTGAGCTCAAGGAAAACGAGTTTTAGATGCCAAAAATATTTTTAAAAAAAAAGTAAAATACATCCTTATTATTGAACTTCAAGTTGTAAAATGACGTATGTGTATTTCCCAATCATCTGGAAGCCGCCTCTGGTCCAGCAACTCTGCTTCACGATTTGAGTATTCCTTTTACTTTAAAAAAGCACAGGTGGGGGCTGGGAAGGTGGCTCAGTGGTAGAGCGCTTGCCTTGCATGCTCGAGGCCCTGGGTTCGATTCCTCAGCACCACATAAGCAAAAAGAAAAAAGCCGGAAGTGGCGCTGTGGCTCAAGTGGTAGAGCGCTAGCCTTGAGCTGAAGAGCTGAGGGACAGTGCCCAGGCCCAGAGTTCAGGCCCCACGACCGGACCCCAAAAAACTAAATAAATAAAATAAAAAAGCACAGGTGAAAAATGCATGCTTTATAGACTTGTATTCTTTTGTCCTGTCTTATCATCATAAGACATTTGATAATCCCACTAAAAGAACTCTTCCGCTGGGTGCTGGTGGCTCACATCTGTCATCCTACCTACTCAGCAGGCTGAGATCTGAGAATCTTGGTTGGAAGCCAGCCTGGGCAGAGAAGTCCTGTGAGATTCTTACCTTCAACGAACCAGCAAAAAGCAGGAAGTAGAGGTGCGGCTCAAGTGGTCGAGCACCAGCATTGAGCGAAACAGCTGAGTACCCGGATTCTTAAGTTCAAGCCCCAGTACTGGCACAGAAAAAGAAATCAAAGAAAGGGAAGGAAAAGAAAAAAAAGGAAAGAAGGGAGGAAGGAAAAGAAGGAAAAATTACTGAGACATTAACAAGAAAATCCTGAGTACATTAGAGAATGAACAAAAACTAAAGACTTCGGAGTTGATACTTGCACAGAGCATACTTTGTGCGTATGTATGTGTTGGTCATGGGGCTTGAACTCAGGGCCTGGGTGCTGTCCCTCAGCTCTTGGGCTCAAGGCTCACACATTTACCACCTTGAGTCACAGCTCCACTTCCTGTGTTTAGGTGGTTCCCTGGAGGTGATAGCCCATGGACTTTCCTGCCCAGGCTGCCTTTGAACTTCGATCCTCAGATCTCAGCCTCCTGAGTAGCTAGGATGACAGGCGTGAGCCGCCAGCGCCCGGCTTCTCTTCTGGGCTTTTGACTCCACAGACAGTCATAAAATACTTGTGTCAGCCATCCCAAAATTCACTCACACGGTTACAAAATGATGTCGACGCTGGTGTTCGTCGGGAAAGGAATGGAGGGTAAGGTTTCTCGGTGGCTTGTGGGGCGCGGGGGCCTCCTTACATCAGAAGCGTGAGGATGACGGCAGGACTTCAAAGTCACTATCAACATATTCTACGGGTGCGGTGAGGTGCACTTGATAGGAAAAATCAGCCCGGTTCGGTTGGAAGAATTGCTTTTAATTTCAGACATTGATAGGGTCATAGATACACAAGGTCCGTATCTAGTTGTCATCCGTGCCCAGCTCCCTACTAAATGAGTCCTTTTATTAAAATAGCATCATTTTCCCACTTTTCCAGTACTGGAGCTTGAACTCGGGGCCTGGGCGCTGCCCCTTAGCTTTTCCAACTCAAGGCTGGTGCTCTACCACTTGAGCCACACCCCCAGCTATGGTTAAAGAGGCACAACTACTTTTCTGTCTGGGCTGGCTTTAAATTGCAATCGGTCAATCTCAGCATCCTGAATAACTAAGATAGAGGTGAGCTACTTGCTTCCTTTCTTATACACCAATTCACGCATCATTTCTACCTTGCACCTTTCATTTTTTCCACCTTGTATTTGTCATTTCCTGTGTTCTGTGACTGATCCTCCAAGACAGATATATATAGATATATATATTCCTCAACCTTTTCCACTGCTATGTAGTATTCCACTGAATGGATAATACCAGTTTTTCCCTTACTCTCCTCACAATAGACTTGGGGGCGTTTCTAGTCCTAATAGTTGTTATAAAGTGTTGTAGCAAACACCTTTTGATTATACCACGCTTCTATTTTAGAACTGTCAGGCTGAAGGATCAAACTCCTAGCTGTGTTAGTTATGAACAGATCTCATCCACCAGATATGGACTTTGTGGTGGGTTTCATGGATTGTCTAACTTGGGACTTTCTCCAGTCTCACTAGTTTGCATTTCTCTTATTAGATATATCCCAAGATGCTTTAGGACCATACGAATTTTCTTTTCTGAGAACTGTCGATTCCTAGCTTGCCTAAGTGCTCCCCAAAGTATAGAAGTCCTTCATCTATTACAGTGATAATGAGCTCACCCCACTTTAATTTTTTTTGTTGGTCATGGGGCTTGAATTCTGGGCCTGGGCGCTGTCCCTGGGCTCTCAAGGCAAGTGCTCTACCACTTGGGCCACAGCATCACTCCTGGTTTTCTGGTGGTTCATTGGAGATGTTTTACAGACTTTCCTGCTCAGGCTGACTTTGGACTGTGATCCTCAGATCTCAGCCTCCTGAGCAGCTAGGATGACAGGCGAGAGCCACCAGCGCCTGGCTTAACGAGTCCTTTTGTGATAAACGTTGGCAATTCTTTTGCCTATATGGCTGGTCTGGGGCTTGAACTCAGGGTCTGGGCTTAGTCCCTGAGCTTCTTTTGCTTAAGGCTACTACTTTTCAAGCACTCTTACCACTTGAGCCACAGCACCACTTGTGGTTTTGGTTTTTGTTTTTCCTCGCTGAGTGGTTTGTTGGGAGGTAAGAATCTCATGGACTTTGCTGCCTGGACTGGCTCTGAACTGCAAGCCTTAGATCTCAGCCTCCTGAGTAGCTAGGATGACAGGCATGAGCCACTGGCACCTGGCTGGTTTGGCCCTTCTAATGTAAAAAATATTTATGAAGGAAGGCATTTAAAAAGTGACCCCTAAATATGATTCTGAAACAAACTCTAAGTGATACGTTTGTTTTGTGTGTGCTGGTAACTTGGGCTTTTACCCAGGCCTGGGTGCTGTCTCTTAGCTTTTTTATTCCAGGTTGGTGCTCTATCAGTGGAGTTAAAGTTCTACTTCTGACTTTTTTCCTAGTTAATTAGACTTAAGAGTCTCACAGACTTTCCTGCTTGGGGTGGCTTCGAACTGTGATCCTCAGATCTCAGCCTCCTGAGTAGCTAGGATGACAGGTATGAACTACTGGTGCCTGGCTATTTCTCTCTCATTTTGTAAAACGGTGCTAACACCCTCATGGCAGATACTCACAAGAGACAGAATGGCTGTGACGTAACTATAAGCAAGTAATAAACGAGTTGATCAGTACAAAAGGAAACACAGCGGTTAACTCATTTTTGGTGTCCTGGCTCACAGTAGCACCATTTTTTTTTTTTTTTTTAATAGTTTAGTGGTAAGAATGAAGCCCTGGTTTCGTTGCCATGTACAAGAGAGTCAGATGTTCATAAAAATACAACAGGACTTTGCTTACTGGAAAGCCAATAGTGGTTCAGATCCGCTTGGAGGAGGAAGTGGTGTTCGCTGCATCCTTGGTCCTGGAAAAGAACAGCATTCATGCGGAGGGAAAAGGGTACAGATGTGTAGTGAAGGCTTCTTAGGACTTGAGTCACGGAAGTATTCGTGGCACTGTCTTAGAAGCACTGAGTTAAGTCACACAAATGTCCCCAGGTGCTATCTAGGTAGCCAGCTTTGAAGATGAAAAACAGAAAAAGTAAAGCTGTGACTGACTCCTTTTTTTAAGTATTGTGGGGCTTGAACTCAGGGCCCTGGGTGCTGTCCCTCAGCTCTTCAGCTCAAGGCGAGCGCTCTACCACTTGAGCCACAGCGCCACTTCCGCCTTAGTGGTGATTCATTGGAGGTAAGAGTCTCATGGAATTTCCCACCTGAGCTGGGTTTGAACCAGGATCCTCAGATCTCTCAGCCTCCTGAGTAGCTAGGATGACAGGCGAGAGCCACCGGCGCCCAGCTTGACTCCTTTGTTTTTAAATCACTCCATTTCAAACCCGAGGTGACGTATTGGAAACAGACACATTTCTACATAAAGCGCACAGGGGCCAGAGTTAACTGAATCCATTATTAGACAGGGTTGAACCAAGCAAAGAAAATAAGAGTGCATCTTTTACAGAATGTATCTGAATAGACCTAGAAATCATTTGGTTAAATTGGCAATATAAATGTAAGCACCCAACTGCCAAAGTTAGGTAGAAATGAGAAAAGTCAGTTGGGCGATTACAATGGTTCAGTACATCAGAAAGGACACACCACCTTTTATTTAAAGCTACTAAGTTTGAAGACTTGTGTATTCCAGGTCGAGGAGGAGAGAAGGAAGCCATTCTTCCGGAAGGCACTAATGGTTTGTGTGTGCAAACGACTCCAGGAGGAAAACGTGTTCAAGGACAGGCAGGGGCGCGGGGCTTGGGTGCCTTCCTCGCTCTCCAGCATGACCGTGGATGACGCTGGAGAGATTTGGTGGGGGGGGGCCACCCACCACCTGCTCGCACAGAGGCTGCCACTGCACCTGCGGCTGCGTGCTCAGTCCACCGTGTTGCAGATCTCCTTCACTTTCTGGTTGAACTCTTCAGGTTGATCTGCATAGACATAATGCCCTGCTCCAAGAATAGCCTGGGTGAGAGAGAGCAGACATGGTCAGCGAGGAAAAGCGTCACTACCACGCAAGATATATGAGCCCCTACAGATACTGGAAAAGCCGGGTGCTGGTGGCTCACGCCTGTCATCCTAGCTACTCAGGAGGCTGAGATCTGAGGATCGAGGTTCAAAGCCAGCCTGGGCAGGGAAGTCTGGGAGACTCTTATCTCCAATAAACCACCAGAAAACCAGAAGTGGAGGTGGTTCAAGTGGCGGCGTGCTAGCTTTGAGTGACCAAGCTCGGGGACAGGGCCCAGGATCTGTGTTCAAGACCTAGTACCCCCACACAGAGCCCCTAAACAAATGGAAAGCGAGACCTGGCGAGACAGCGCAGAAAGTGGGCAACGTCAGGGATGGGGTTCGAGAACTGACTCTGCACCTGTCCCCCTCCTCCCCTCCCTCCCCCCACCTGGCCTTTCCACAGAGAGAGTGCCGAAGGGCCCCTCAGAAAGGGGACAGGATTGGTGTGGGTCAAAGCTGAGCAGGTAGCGCCTGTCTGTAATCCGCGCACTGGGCCCTTGCAGGCCCCGCCCCGCCCCGCCCCCCGAGGGGCGTGCACTCACGATGGTCTCCTTGCAGGCCCCGCCCCGCCCCCGCCCCCCGAGGGGCGTGCACTCACGATGGTCTCCTTGCAGGCCCCGCCCCCGCCCCGCCCCCCGAGGGGCGTGCACTCACGATGTCTCCTTGCAGGCCCCGCCCCGCCCCGCCCCCCGAGGGGCGTGCACTCACGATGTCTCCTTGCAGGCCCCGCCCCCGCCCCCGAGGGCGCGCACTCACGATGGTCTCCTTGCAGGCCCCGCCCCGCCCCGCCCCCCGAGGGCGCGCACTCACGATGGTCTCCTTGCAGGCCCCGCCCCCGCCCCGCCCCCCGCGGGGCGTGCACTCACGATGTCTCCTTGCAGGCCCCGCCCCGCCCCCGAGGGGGCGTGCACTCACTATGGTCTTGCAGGCCCCGCCCCCCCCCGCCCCCCGAGGGGCGTGCACTCACGATGGTCTCCTTGCAGGCCCCGCCCCCGCCCCGCCCCCCGAGGGGCGTGCACTCACAATGGTCTCCTTGCAGGCCCCGCCCCCGAGGGGGCGTGCACTCACGATGGTCTCCTTGCAGGCCCCGCCCCGCCCCGCCCCCCGAGGGGCGTGCACTCACGATGGCCTCCTTGCAGGCCCCGCCCCCGCCCCGCCCCCCGCGGGGCGTGCACTCACGATGGCCTCCTTGCAGGCCCCGCCCCCGCCCCGCCCCCCGCGGGGCGTGCACTCACGATGGTCTCCTTGCAGGCCCCGCCCCCGAGGGGGCGTGCACTCACTATGGTCTCCTTGCAGGCCCCGCCCCCGCCCCGCCCCCCGAGGGGCGTGCACTCACGATGGTCTTCACGTGTGAGTGTGGCCGCAGCGACTGGATGCTGGTGCCCGAGTTGCCGTCGATGCAGGACCGGGCGCCGAAGATGACGGAGACGGGAATGGCGGGGTCCATTTTGCCAATCCGCTGCAGCATCGGCCTCTTGGCCCACCCGTAGGGGATTGTCATGTTCTTGAAAGCACTCTCGCCACTTGAAGGAGAAAAGTACACACTGTGCGTGACTTTGCGGGGGGAGAAGAGTCCAGGTCGCAGCCTGACCTCTTGTCCACACACAACCTCACACCTGTCGTCCTGGCCACTCAGGAAGTAAGAGGTTGGAACTTCAAGGCCTGAGCAGGCAGACAAATCAGTGAGATTCCCCCCATCTTAATAAACGAGCTGCGTGTGGTAGTACGCACCTATAGGCTCAGCTACTGGGAAAGCACAGGGAAGACGGCCGTCCAAGGCCACCCCAGATGCACACAGCGGACCTTACCACGAAAATAACCAGAGCAAAAAAATGGGCCAACCAGGGGCTGGGGAGGTGGCTCAGTGGTAGAGCGCTTGCCTTGCATGCATGAGGCCCTGGGTTCGATTCCTCAGCACCACATAAACAGAGAAAGCTGGAAGTGGCGCTGAGGCTCAGAGCGCTAGCCTTGAGTGAAAAAAAAAAGCTAAGGGACTGTGGTCAGGTCCTGAGTTCAAGTCCCAATACTGGTACATACACATGAACTGCCTGGTGGCTCATGCCTATAATCCTAGCTACTCAGGAGGTGGAGCTGTGAGGATTATGATTCAAAGCCAGCCGTGGCAGGAAAGTCTCCAATGAACCACCAGAAAAGCAGAAGTGGTGCTGTGGCTCAGTGGTAGAGTGCTCGCCTTGAGCAAAAGAGCTCAGGGATGGCGCCCAGGCCCTGAGTTCAAGCCTCGGAACTGGCATCAAAACACACACCCGAGTCACGGCCCCTACCTGGGGGTCTGCACGTTACAGTGGTAGATGTATTCTGTCACAGTGTCATCGTCGAACATCGAAGAGTACTTCCGCTTGAAATCAGGCCTTAAGCGCTGCACCAGACTTAACCCTGTGTAGCAGGAAATAAAACCGCCCTGTTTTCCCTGATAGTTGATAGCAACGCGGCACTAAATGGTGCAGAAAGTTCAGAGCTTGTTCAGGCAGGACTATACCAATATACACATAACGTGCACTGAAGAAAACGCACACACCCTGGAAGCTACTACGGTCTTCAACTCCCCAAGCGACCACTAAAACAAGAAAATATATTCTTTAAATATTTCTAGTGGACAAAGCCTCTCTCTCTCTCTCTCTCTCTCTCTCTCTCTCGGCAGCCTTGCTATAACCCAAGCTGGCATAGAGACCCCCAATCCTCCTGTCTCAGCCTCCCAAGTGCTGGGATTAAAGGCATCCCCCACGCTACCCAGCAAGGTTTTATTTCTTTACTGGCGTCCAGCGATCACAGCACTCCATCAGCAACTTGGTGTGATGCATGTGATTGAGACAGTGCACTGCTTTGATGGTGGCGCCACTTAGGAGAGCCCGGAAGAGGTTGGCACTTTGCACTCTGACCTCTCCCGGAGCTGCGCTATGGGACACTCTCCCCTGCTGATGCTGGCCAGGGCAGTGACCCAGAGCTCCCCAGGCGGGCTGGGATGAGATCACCAGGGCGAGAAGAACATTCCAACACGCTATGGTGCTACCAAGCCACCTGGATTCTCAGACTGGGCAGGTTCTGTGTAGCAAGTGCAGTTCCCATGTGATGTCTCCTTTCAGCTTAAGTCTATTATCTGCTCGTAAGCGAGGGAATCTGTCACCCGGGAAGCGCTCTGCTTGCCCCATGGAAGCACTTACCGAAGGGCCCTGCGATCCTGAGGCCAGCTAAGGGGTTGAAGGGGGTCAGGGCCGCTCCTAAGGCTCGGATCCAAACAGGGATCGGTCTGTCTTGATCGGCCAGGTCTGGTCGCTCGGGAAAACCCCAGGGCTCCACTAAAATGAGGTGACTAACCCTGCGAGGGGAAGAGAACAGATTTAGATCCTTTAGCATAAAGAGCTCGTTTATGTGATATTTCGAATCATTATTAAACATTTCTAAGAATCTATAAGGTAAATGTAGACTCAGGCTCACGGGGTACACATCGCTTGAGAGTCAAGAGATCTTGAGTAGTGTGTAACACAGAGCTTTATTTATAAAAATATCGAACTGTGACCAGGTACTGGGGGCTCACGCCGGTCTTCCTAGCTACTCTGGAGGCTAAGATCTGAGGATCAGGGCTCGAAGCCAGCCTAGGCAGGAAAGTCCATGAGACTCTCATCTCCAATAACTACCCCCCCCCAAAAAAAAAGAAGAAGTGGAGCTGTGGCCCAAGTGGCAGAGCATTCTCCTTGAGCACAAAAGCTCAGGGACGGTGCCTAGGCCCTGAGTTCAGCACACGAGCATGCGTGCACCCATACACAGACACACAGACACACACACAAATCATCTAAATGTTATGTTCGAAAGGAAAACATAACAGCGGGGCAACACAGATCCATGGCCACTCAGAAAAATTCCACCTTCCTGGAAGTAGACATCACAGTTGACTCAAGGTCAATATCACACCCATAAAGGAGTCTTGGATACTCATAATAGTCTGTCACCCGGCTGGCTGGGAAGGTGGCTCAGTGGTAGAGTGCTTGCCTAGCATGCATGAAGCCCTGGGTTTGATTTCTCAATACCACCTGCACAGAAAGAGGCAGGAAGCGGTGTTGTGGCTCAGGTAGTAGAGTGCTAGCCTTGAACCAAAGAAGCTCAGGGATAGTGCCTAGGTGTTCAGTTCAAGCCCCAGAACTAACAAAAAAAAAAAAAAGAGAGAAAAAGAAAAAAATCTATTGCTATGAATCAATCATTCTAAAATCATGAGGATTTAAAGTAGATTCAGATGGACTTTTAAAATAAAACCTTTTGCCGGGAGGCGTTGGCTCACGGCTGTCATCCTAGCTACTCAGGAGGCTGAGATCTGAGGATCATGGTTCAGAGCCAGCCTAGCAGGAAAGGCAGTGAGACTCTTTATCCCAGAAAACCAGAAGAGGTGCTGTGGCTCAAGTGGTAGAGTGCTTGCCTTGAACTGTAGAGCTCAAGGACAGAGCCTAGGTCTAGAGTTCAAGCCCCAAGACCCACTAAATAAATAAATAAACCTTTTCACAAACATGAGACTAATGTAGCATGGGCTGTACAAGACTAATAAATCCTTTAGCTTGGGGAAAATGGAATTTGGTGAGATACAGCATATCTATCTACCCTACTTTTTTTCTGGTCAGTTATGGGGCTTGAACTCAGGTTCTAGGTGCTGTCCCTGAGCTCTTTTTGTTCAAGGCTAGCACTCTACCACTTTGAGCCACTTCTGGTTTTTCTGGTGGTTCAATGGAGATAAGGCGTCTCATGGATTTTCCTGCCGTTGGCTGGCTTTGAACCGTGATCCTCAGATCTCAGCCTCCTGAGTAGCTGGGATGACAGGCGGGAGCACCAGTGCCCGGCTTCTACCCTACTTTTGCCATCATGAACTATTAACATCACCATCGACTCATCCTCTCCCAAATTTATCAACCAACCAGATGTATTCCAACCTCATAGATAATTGTCCCCTATCATTAAGGGCTTTAATTCCAATGTCATATTCAATTATCTCATTGTTACTCATAGCTTTAATTCTTCCATGAAATTTGTTCCTGATAAAGAAAAAAACAAACCTAATGACTCAGGAGGCTGAGATCTGAGGATTGTGGTTCGAGAAAAGTCTGTGAGACTCTTAGCTCCAATGAATCACCAAAAAGCCAGAAGTGGAGCTGTGGCTCAAGGGGTAGAGCACTCCCCTTGAGAGTGGCCATGTGCTGAGTTCAAGTCTCCATCCCAGCACACACACACACACACACACACACACAGAAAATAGCATAAGCAACATCAAGGTAGAGGTTAAGCTTCATTTTTACCTATGATCCCTCGAGATTTCACAGCACTGAGACCTGTGGATGGGAGCTGGGAATCTGTGCCAAGCACCCAGGCCAGCTTTTTACCTTTCCTTGAAAGAACTGGGAAGCTCACTTGCTATGAGGAGTTGCCTGGGCTTAATGTGCTTGTGCCCTATTATTATTCCCCAAACCTAATATTCCTAGGATAATAATATGTCAGAGGCCACTGTAATGGGATTGTGAAGTCAGGAATTCAGGGTTAGGAATGAGTCTACTAAGGGAGCACGCGTGAGTCAACCTCTCAGAAACTGTACAGATTTAAACTACAGGGAAAACAAGAAAACCGGCAGAACAGGACCTAGGGAGCAGCCCGTGAGTTTTGAAACACAGACAGGCCTATTTCTTTCTCCAATCAGTCCTGCGAGTCTGCCTTTTGTGCTGTAAGGCTAGCTCTCCACCACTTACAGCCACAGTGCCACGTCCGGCTTTGTAGCAGTTAATTGGAGATCAAGAGTCTCATGGACTTTGCTGCCCAGGCTGGCTTTGAACCATGATGCACAGATCTCAGCCTTCTGAGTAGCTAGGATGATGGATGTGAGCCACTGAGGCCTGGCTCCCGAGCTCCAGCTTTTAAAGGAAAGGCTGAGATAGGAAACTTCACTGTCTACACGATGGCTGGACAAAAGAACCGTCAGTCTCAGAAACCAAATGTCCCAGGAGATCCATAGGACTTTGTTACCCAACAAGGAAAGGAATGAGGAAGAATGAAGGGAAAGAACTCGGTGTACAAGGAAGGTGCTCTGCAGATGAATGGACCCCGGATAGCTCCTGGTGGCTGTTCCAAACACCCGGGGGGTGGGGGAAGAGCTTTTCCTCTCCACGGGAGCAAGTGAGGTGAAGCCACAGGGCAAACTCTTCAAGATGGAAGTAGCTGAACACTTTGGTTGGTGAAGACTTACTACAACCTCCTCCATTATAACTTGGTCCTCACTTTCTTTGGGGGTTGTTTGATCTTTTTTTGGGGGGGGGAGGGAGAGGGCTGCATGAGGACAGGGCTTCTGCTATGTATCCCAAGCTATGTACCTCAGGCTGGCCTCAAACTGGAGATTCTCCTGCTTTTTGCCTCCCCAATGCTGAGATTACAGGCATGCACCGCCCAGCTTGCTAAACACTTCCTAAGTTAAAAAGTTAAAAAGTTCTATGATCTGCTTCTTCTTCTTCTCCCTTTGGAACAGATACCTGTAAAACACAGTCTTTGTAAGGGGAGGAAAATTAGAGGGAAAGGCTGGGCACACGGAAGAAAGTGGGGGGGGGGGGGGGTAATCCTAGATCTTACTGCTGACTTACTTTATCCTTAACGCAGAAAGTTTTACAGAATGGAAACCCAAGATAGCTCCCACAGCTAGTGGCCCTGCTGTGTAACCCTGCAAAACACCTGCTGGATGAACAGATGAAGGACATGAAGTCTAGAAGACTTCCTTTAATTAAGAAATGATACCATCAGTGGTTTAAAAAAAAAAAAAAGGTAGCTGCGACTTAAAAACTATGCTAAAACTTAAGAGCACGAATGTGATCCAGCTGTCTCTTCAGAGATCTTTTAGAAGAATTCAAACAAAATGGCCCCGCAATACGAAGTTTGCTCAACAGAAACTAAACACCATCAGTCTGACTTGTGGAGGCCAGCTCAGGCAGGGTGTAAAGTTTGTGACATGTGCATCTCCACAACCACCACCACAAAAAGCTGGACATGGTGATTTCACGCCTGTCTTATTAACTAAAATGGGAAGCCATACATAAGAGGGTTACAGTCCAGGCTGGGGGGGGGGGGGGTAGAAGGGGGGGGGCAGCAAGACTCTATCTGATAAATAACCACAGCAAATAGCACTAGAGGCCTATAGCTCAGTGATAGAGGGCCTGCCGAGCAAGCATGGAGGCCCTGAGGTCAAACCCCAGTACAGCCAAACATAAATAAATAAAGTGTTACACAGTCGGGACTAGAGGCTTGGGAGGAAAAAAAGAAAATAATAGAAATTTCAAAAGGAAAAAGGACATAGGCCTGACTCCCTAACAGAGTCTGTAGAGTACAATGATTTGGCAGCAACCAAAGGAACTTAAACATCCTGATGAGCGTCAGCATGCTCATATCCATGTATTTAGTGCTGATACTTAGTGGTTCTAGGCTCTGACACAGTGTGTAAGTTTAGTGTTTGGCATTGAATCCATTCAAATGTAGGCCGTCCAATGAAATCCAAACGCTGGCCTGTTACTGTTGTCCTTCATAGATTGTAAAGGTCTGGATTCCTGAAGGTACCCCCTGCATCCCATTTCCTTACTCCATTTGCAGCAATGACTGCAAGTGGAAATTCCCCCAACTGATTTCATCAGTAGGTAGCTATGAAGGGTTAGGACCCCAGGATGATGTGGAGGGGTCATATCCAGGGTCTAACCCGCCGAGTCCCAGGTCCTGTCTCTAAAGATAACCTGAAGACATGATACATACAGCCATAATACATGCCCGATGCCAAGCTCATGCCCACAAACATCTGTCATCTTCCCCTCTTCCTTCTCCTCCTCTCCCTACAAATAGTGTTTGTCACTAAGACGAGGGTAAGCTACGACGAGAAAAATCCTAACATGCCCACGAGGAGGAGAAAATACAGGGTTTTCTCTTGAAGAGTTCTCACTTGACAAGACTATTAGACAAAAAGCAGGTATGAAAGCTGAAGTTTAGATGGTGATCCTGTGGAGAAGAGGTTGTGATGGACAACACCAAACACAACTTCTAGTACATAAAGCTACTGTATCACACAGCACGTTGTAAAATCTGTGACTGGAGTCATGCCACGGGGTGGGACCAAGCCAGGAACTCTGAAAGTGGCCACTCATCTCAAGAGGACGCAATGTCAACGCCCACCCTAGATTCCAGAATGAGTCCAGCGGTAAACACACTGATAGTGGAAAATGCGGATGTTCATTCTTTGCTTTCCACAATACGACCAAAAACACAGGAGAATTTTCTCAGCACTCCGATGTGCTGGCACTTGACAAATGAGGTCAAGAAAGGAACCAATTCGAGCCAGGCGCCGGTGGCTCACGCCTGTCATCCTAGCTACTCAGTAGGCTGAGATCTGAGGATCACGGTTCAAAGCCAGCCCGGGCAGGAAACTCTGTGAAACTCCAATAAACCATTAGGAATCTCCAATAAACCATTAGGAAACCGGAAGTGGCGCTGTGGTTCAAGTGGTAGAGCACTCGCCTTGAGCTGAAGAGCTGAGGGACAGCGCCCAGGCCCAGAGTTCAGGCCCCACGACCGACAAAAAAAGGAAGTAAGTCACAACAGATTCTAAGGTCAACAGTCTAATCTGAGGTGTGCAAACTGTTCTGTAATGAGCAGGACACCAGTGGCTCACACCTGTCATCCTAGCTGCTTAGGAGGCTGAGATCTGAGGATCAAGGTTCAAAGGCAGGAAAGTCCGAGAGTCTCTTATTCTCCAATAAACTGCTCAAAAAAAGAAATGGAGCTGTGGCTCAAGTAGAAGAGCACTAGGTCTTGAGCACAAAAGCTTAGGGACAGTGCCCAGGTCATGAGTTCAAGCCCCAGGACTGGTGTACACACACACACACACACACACACACACACACACACAATTATTCCATGCAAAGAAAGGTTAAGGAAGCAGACAGTTAACAAACCACAAAAAGGGTACACTACGAAAACACCTAAAGTTTAGAGATTTGTTTTACAGGACAGAGATTGCTCTTGTGTCGAGAGCTTCTCACTTCTAACCAGGTGCTTCCCAGTCCAGCTTCCTATAACATAGAAAAAGTTCAGGAACAGCGTGCTGGATGCATAGGCCGAAAACTAGTAAGAACAGTAATCACCATAATCATAGTAACACGGTAATACCACAATAATCTTTCCTTGTGGCTCTAAATTATATACATTAAATGCTAACCCGTTCTAAGTGACAGATCTTTTTCAAGCTTTTCCACCTGTATCACTGCATTAGCTATCAGGTTGACTGGGAGGGCTACTTTGGTTTACTGGGTAGTATACTAAGAGAATGGTTATCTCAGAATCACTGAATATGGAGCTCACGGACGAGTCCTCGGAGACCCTCTATAGCCCCGCCATGCCACCCCCACATACCTTGATGGGTACTTCAGTGCATACGCAGCAGCCAAGAACCCCCCCAGGTTGTGCCCAAGCACGATCATTCTGTCCAATCCCAAGGCGTGCCTCCACTCTTCAATGGATTCCACGAACTGATTCTCCACCTCTTCTGCATCACTGTCAAACCTGGGCCTGCTGCTTCGCCCGAAGCCCAACAGGTCGAAAGCGTACACAGGCCTGTCGGTGCAAAGATCTTCGAAATTCAGGGCCCAGAGTCCGAGACCTCCTCCGAAACCATGCAGGAGGACCAGAGGAGTCTTTGAAATACTATGAGAGAACTTCAGTGTCCATACTCGATTTCCATTCGATATGCGAACAAATTCCTTTTTGTAGGTGCAGGGGACGCCTGATGAAAACAGAGGAAAGAGGTTCGAAGTCAGTGTCACCCCTTCTGAGCAGAGGATTTCTTCGTGGAGCAACCGATGGTGGGTATTCTAGAAACCAGTCATAGGACTTGAGCTCTTATTATGGCAGTCCTAAAAACATGTGTGTGTCTGTTATACAGCGAGCTAGATGGCCACGCTTAGTATCTATGTGCAAACACGTACCTTAGCTAAGCCTCAAGTACCAGAATATGTGGCAACGTCATTATTACCTCCTCCTGTCTTTCCATGCTATCGATCTGTCACTGACCCTGCACTGCAGACAGTAACAAAAGAATAGCACCCTGATTTTGTAGATGAAGCACTGAAGACTAGAAGTCAGACGTGGAGCAAGAATGGGTTTAGGGAAGGTTCCATGGTACCCCCAGTAAACACAGGACCAAAAATCTCAAGTCATTTCAAGGCTTAGTAGCTAAAGAGGGGCTATATAGGATGGTAGGAACTCCCCAGCAGGAGATGCACATCACCTGAGTTCAAGTTCAACAATGGTCTACAAAATGCAAATGATCACCATTTTGTAAAACTAATAACTTCTTTTCTAGTTTAGTTATTTATTATTTAGTGCTCGTCCTGGGGCTTGAACTCAGGGCCTGGCTGCTGACACTGAGCTCTTTTGCTCAAGGCTGGTACCCTACACCACTTGAGCCACAGCTCCATTTCTGCCTTTTTTGGGGGGAGGGGGTGGGTGAGAAGAATCTCATGGTCTTTCCAGTCTGGGCTGGCTTTGAACTGTGATCCTTAGATCTCAGCCTCCTGAGCAGCTAGGATGACAGGCATGAGCCAGTGGCACCTGACTACTTCTTATTTACTTGTTAAATTAAGTCTTCCTTTTATTAAGTAGTTGTACAAAGGGGTTTCACTTCAACATGGCAGTTTATGAGGACAATGCGTCATGATCACCCCTTTAAAAAAGCAAAAACAGAAAAACCTTAGGTTGCATGGCATCTGACTTAATTTGATCAATGAAAAGTTACACTTTAGCTCTATCTAGCCTTAAATATTCCCGAGTACTGAGCTGCAGTGGATAAAACCTGCACTAGCCGGATGTTTCTGCCTATGAATCAAAGAATCTCAAGTTCTGAGTCACCCAGGAACAGCATTCATTCACACCATTGCTAGATCATGATCCCAACAGAGCAGAAACGTAGCCGGTTAGGAGAGAGGAGAACTTAGTATTAAGCCAAGCTGTTCAGCAGTCTGCACACAGGGAACTGAGCATTTCTTCCCACAAGGAAGATCTGTATCTATTTCAGAGCTCACTCCTCTATATTGGTCACCTGGTATGAGAGCAGGGACCAACTCTTGCTCTGCCACTCTAGGACCTTAGTCGGGAAGCTGTGTATGTTATATGCATGTACTGAGCACTAGTACCTTTTTCTCACCCTCCTGACCATACGGTTTTCACTGGGGTAAACCACTATGGCAACTTTGGCACTTTTGTAGAGAATAAGGTTATTCAAGTTTATGGAACAAGTTGAAATGCATTTTCAAGTTAAAAATCCTTGTAAGTGGGCTACTTATTCCCTCCTAAGGAATATATTGTAATTTATCTGTCTGGTCATTTCCTGGGGCTTGAACTCAGGGCCTGGGCACTGTCCCTGAGCTTCTTTTGCTCCAGGTTAACACTCTACCACTTGAGCCACAGCACCACTTCTGGCTTTTTCTGTGTATGTGGTACTGAGGAATGGAACCCAGGACTTCATGGATGCTAGGCGAGCACTCTACCACTGAGCCACCTTCCCAGCCCTGGTCTCTTCCTCTTAAGCTACCAAGTGCATGAAGAAGAACGTTCATTCATGGTAAAGAAGAGGAGTAGCAGACAAGAGCAAATGCCTGCACAGACATCCACACAGCCATGTCCGTGAACCACCCTACGGAGTCCATTCCTTTCAACTGGATCGGCAGAACGAAAGTGTTAAAAACAACAACGTCCTGACCCCAGTTTGGATACATTTCAGTTCTCATCAGAAACAAAAATGAAGGCTCCCACGCAGAATAAAAGAAACCTAGCATGGGAGCACTGGAGGAATTCGAAGGCCTGTCCTACCTTCATCCTAAGGTAAGGGATGGGAAGCTGAGCAAAGTGACTTGGCCAACATCCTGTTAGACCTGTGGGCAGATCTAGGCCTGATTCCAGTCCAGCATACTTTCTACAACCCAAACACTCTAAAATAGCAGCTGGGCGCTGGTGGCTCACACCTGTCATCCTAGCTACTCAGAAGGCTGAGATCTGAGGACTGTGGTTTAAAGCCAGCCCAGGCAGAAAATCTCTCCAATTAACCAGTGAAAAACAGGAAGTGGTGCTGTGGCTCAAAGTGGTAGAGCACTAGTCTTGAATAAAAAGAGCTCAGGGACAGCACCGAGGCCCTGAGTTCAAGACCTACAACTGACCAAAATAAAACGAATAAATAAATAAAATAATACCACTCTATTTGTCTTTTTGCACTCTTTTTCTGATGGGTGAACAGTGTTCCAGGTCACATGACACAAAAGTCCCCAATAGACCGGGTGCAGAAGTAGATATAAGGACCCTCTGCCTTTTATTACACCAGACATCAAAGCGATTTGCACATATAGAAATAATGTTACTCTTTCCCTGATACTTTGGGAAGTAGTCATCTTTGAAGACGTATTTCTTGTAACCTCTAGTGGGGTTGACTGACACACTTTTTCAGCTAAATTCACACATGAACCCAGTTTTCCATTATGCAGTGTTCATTAATAATGGGATTAAGTATCCATAGCTACAACCTAGACAACAAAGCTTCTTGGAGTTGGGGTGGGGGGTAGGAGAGCTTACTTATTCAAGAGTTTAACAGGGATATCAGAGCCCTGGGGGCAAAGGAGAGAAGTTTCTTCTGTGGACTTTTTATTTTGCTAACACATCACGGACTTATCTCCAGCGGGAAGGCAATGTCTATTTATCGAGCGATTTTTAGTTAACAGGTCAGGTGAATGTACAAGAAGAAAACCTTACATTTTAACATTTTCTCTTCGGCTTCTTTAAGGTGTGTCGACGATGTAGGACACCAGGTGGGAAGCCAACCCGTTAGCCATCCTGACCTACAGTGCCAAAAACAAAAGGCAAAAAAAGAAGTGAGTTTTGCCCTTCGCTCAGCTTCAGGCTATGACATGATGGAGCAGAAAAGCAGCAGAGACTCAGGCTGGGAAGGTGGCTCAGTGGTAGAGTGCTTACCTTGCATGCATGAGGCCCTGGGTTCGATTCCTCAGCGCCACATAAGCAGAAAAAGCCAGAAGTGGCACTGTGGCTCAAGTGGTAGAGTGCTCGTCTTGAGCTGAAGAGCTGAGGGACAGCGCCCAGGCCAAGTTCAGGCCCCACGACCAATGAAAAGCAAAGCACAGCAAAGCAGCAGAGGCAAGCCAGAGTCTGGGGGACACCAGCTGAGCATGGCCAAAGTCACTCAAGACGCAAAGCATTGTGGTATGTTCAACCTCAGCCTGACTGCAAAATCCCTTCTTATCTTCATGGGTGCTCAGACTCCAAATAATGAAGGAGAGGTTGAATTGAAGCAGAATAAATACGAATAGTTAATAATAGAAACTCAAGGTATTTCCACCCAGTGCAAAACAGCCTCTTTATCAGGTAGCAGTGGAAAAGGTGAAAGGTTCATTTGAAGGAGAGGCTCACAGGGAGAAATGACAGGTATGAAGGGTGGCTGTTGACAGAGAGCTATTATTAAAAGTCTGACTTTTACAAGAAAAATCCTTGCCAGGAGCTAGTGGCTCATGCCTGTAATCCTAGCTACTCAGAAGGCTGAGATCTGAAGATAAAAGTTCAAAGCCAGCCTGGGCAGGAACATCTATGAGACTCTTAACTTCCAATTAACTACCAAAAAGCCAGATGTGGACCTGGCTCAAGTGGTTGAGTGCCAATCTTGAGAGAGAAAAAACTTGGGGACAGTGCCAGGACCTTGAGTTCAAGCCCCAGTATTGGCACACACATGCGTATACACACACACACACACACACACACACACACACAAAACCTCAAAATCAAAAACAAACAACATACTTCTAAGAGAAATGTGAAGAGCTGTTCTAGAACAAATTAGACAGAGAATCAAAATAATCAAAATAGGTTTGCGTTCCAGCAAACCATATGTGAAAAAAAAAATGATGGTGACATCTGTTAAAAACAACAACAACAAAAAAAAAAACAGAAATAGTCAGGTGCTGGTGGCTCACGCCTGTCATCCTAGCTACTCAGGAGGCTGAGATCTGAAGATCAAGGTTCAGAGTCAGCCCAAGCAGGAAAGTCTATGAGACTCTTAATCTCCAATGAATCCCCAGAAAACCAGAAGTGGTGCTGTGGCTCCAAGTGGTAGAGTGCTAGCCTTGAGCGGAAAGGCTCAGGGATAGCGCCCAGGCCCTGAGTTTGAGCCCCAGAACCAACAACAGCAAAAAAACAAACAAACATAGACATTGAGAAACAAAGAGGCAACAGGCAGGCAAGATGCGAGGTTATGAATTACACACACAGCCAGGGAAAGAGCATTTGTCAACTCCTGGCCCGGCAGAAACAGAAAACCTTAACCGCCATCTGAAAGTTGGCGGGGACTGGGCACAGGGTGGTATTATTTAAAGTGAGAACTTCCCGTGAACGAGAAATGAATTGGAAAAGGAAACAGGACCAAAAACCACAGATTCCACACAAGAACGCTGGGCCTGAACCAAAGCGTTGGCAGGAAGGATAGAGAGAGACAAGATCTAGCCGAGGAGTTTAAAAACAAAACGGGCTACTGGCCGCCGGTGCCTCTCCTGCCTGCCATCCTAGCTACTCAGGAGGCTGAGATCTGAGGATCGTGGTTCAAAGCCAGCCTAAGCAGGAAAGTCCATGAGACTCTGATCGCCAATGAACCAACACAAAAACCAGAAGTGGTATTTTGGCTCAAAGTGGCAGAGCACTAGTCTTGAGCACAAAGAGGCTCAGGGACAATGCCCAAGGCCCTGAGTTCAAGCCCCAGGGACCAGCAATAAAAGAATTAAAGTACAACAGGTTCTTTTTTGCTGTTGTTGCTGGTCGTGGGGGGCTTGAACTCTGGGCCTGGGTGCTGTCCTGAGCTCAGCTCTTCAGCTCAAGGCCAGCGTTCTATCACTTGAACCACAATGTCACTTCCAGTTTTCTGGTGTTTCATTGGAGAGAAGAATCTCATGGACTTTCATGCCCAGGCTGGCTTTGAATCGTGATCCTCAGATGTCAGCATGCTGAATAGCTAAGGATTAAAGGCTTACACCAGGTTCTTTAACAGGGATGGTATAGGCAAGGGCCTGAACCCCCAAAATATAACAACAAAAAGAACCAACACTGAGACAAAGAGATGGTTTTGGAAAGGCTAACCAATAGTACGAGCAATCAAGGAAGGTGATCAGAATTACCAATAATCTAATACCTACAGTTTCTTATTTCTTTGTTTTTGTTTTTCTTGAGGCAGCAGGGTCTGGCTACAATGGCTAAGCTGGCCCTGAACTCAAGATTCTCCCGGTTCGGATTCTCTCTCCTTAGGGCTGGGGTTATAGGAGTGTGCCACTATGCCCGATTTGTAGACAGCATTTTGTTTCCTAGTCAACTTTCGTCTTGTCTCAAGTCTTTCAACAAAAGAACTTCCTAGGATATTTAGACCATTTGTGTGTCTACATACACCTGCTCACAGAATAGGACTCTAAGCAGATGCTCTGGTCAAAGCCAGGAGGTTAGGTTATAGACACAGTATGTGAAGCAAAGGTCACCTACAGACATCAGTGTTTTCTCTATGTTTTAAAAAAGCAAAATAATAGCATTTGCCACACGTTTCGCGTACCTTATTATTAGATACAGTCACATTAGTCCACTTGTAAGTGTTAACAACTCTGGAAAAAGTTGCTGAGACTTTAGCAACTGAGTTTTCAATTTACTCCAGAACTTTCCATTGATTTTTTAAAAAATTAAGTTTTAAATTACTTTTTAAATACTGCCAGAGTCCAGCAGGGATGACCCTGGTCCTCTCTCCCTGTTGGCCTCCCCATTTAAAAAAAAAAAAAAAGTGGTTTGGAGACAGGAGTTCTCTTTCTGTTGTCGTGATTGCTTTGTGTAAGTCAACTGTCCTGTAACTGGAGCTCCTGTGATACTCTAGAATCATCTAATAGCAGCAGGAAATGACTTATAACTCAGTCGTTTTGTTTTCCTAAGGCAAATGCCCCTCAATGCCTAGTGATTTGTGAGACAGAGATCAGTACCAAAAAAAAAAAAATGGTGAACGTGAAATGAACCATCATCTACTATTACTCTAAATGACATCACAAGACGAGCTGGAGCACAGAATAGAACAATGCCATTTTTGCATGGGTGTTTTAAACAACAACAAACAAAACACCTCACATCCAGGCTGTGTGCTGGTGGTCAGGCTGGTCGACCTAGCGATTCACGAGGCTGAGATCTGAGATGGACAGGGAGACTCTTATCTCCAATTATCTACCAAAAAGGCCACAGGTTTGGAACAGTGGCTCCAAAGTGGTAGAGCACCAGCCTAGAGCAAACTAGCTCAGAGACAGTGGCCCAGGCCCTGTTTTCAAGCCCCAGGATTGGTACAAGACCGAAAACAAAACCAACAAAACCCCTCATTATGTCCAAAAACTAATTCAGACTCTGAATTACCAACTGTGTGTGGCTACTAGAATTTAAGAAGTTACATACAAGCCTATTGTGTAGGAATTACCCACCTACCTCCACTGAGTTACTATTCACAATGCCACTCCTTTCATGGTCTGTCTATGGATTTCGCCTCCTAATGACCCGTTTAGAAGTTCAGTAATTGCATTAAAAACAAGAGCTCTTCAGCCACAAGAGGCACCAACTCCCTTCATGCTTTCATAGTAGCCTTTTCAATAAAGTGGACAGGTTTTAGTTTCCCTTTGTATCGGTCCTAGGGCCTGAACTCAGGGCCTGGGTGCTGTCCCTGAGCTTTTTCGCTCAAGGCTAGCGCTCTAAAGTGGACCATTTTTGTAAGTGAGATTCCCCCTCCCCCCCCCAAGCATAAACTGAAAACTTCTACTTAATAAAGCATAGTGAAATACCTCATTTTCATCCTTAATGAAAGCTGCAAAGATAGCACTTTTTCCCCTAAGTTCTAACTATGTCTTGTTTTTGTCCAGGCTTACTGTGGCTAGATAGAAAATGTTCTATAGAAACTGTCTTCTACTTTTACTTCTATTGGACAGACACTCTATAGAACTTAAGATGGAGACATATCTTATATATATGTATGTATACGTATATATATATATATATATATATATCCATCTACACCCATCTGAAATTCTCTCTCTCTGTATATATATATATATACGTATATTAACATACACCCCCATCTTCAACACTTTTTACTTTCTAGAAGTATTCCTTATGTAATTGGCTCAAAGGAACACGTCTAGAAAATGAAAAGTAAGGAGACACCTCTAGAAAGTGAAAGATGTTTCAAAAAGCCAGTTACGTAATGCCTCCAAGGCACACTTCTAGAAAGTGAAAAGCAAGAGTCTGACAGTCTAAGACTGACCTATCCACTCCGACTTCTTGTCTTTAAAAGAGACCCTCTGCCCCTTCTTACCCAGCCCATCTCTGCCAGACACCATTATTACCCAGCATTCCCTAGGCCTGACATGTAGGCTACTGGAACTAAGATGGAAGCCAGCCAACCATGTGTGCAGACAGCATAGAGTAAAAGGTCCCCAGGCCAGGCTGCAAACCATTAAACTAGATACAGGGCTTTGGCCTATAAACAGGAAAGCAAAACCTCTTATATTTAAGCAGACAATCAGCAAGTAACACCATCTATCACTGATATCCTGACTTCAGAAGACCAACAGGTATCCATCACTATATAAAGAAGAAGCCATTTGCCCACAGGGACTGTCACTTCCCCAAAGTAAATAGCTACAATACCAGGAAGCATTGTTTGCTGGCAGGTGTGTACCAAAATGTTTTCTAAGAGGCATTAATCTCATTAGCAAGGCAGAAGATTCCGGTCCTAAGGCAAATAGTGGAAAAGCAGAAGGAGTTTCAATCTATA